TGTCTTCCCACAATGAGATTTCCTCTGACACATCTGCCTCAGTAGTTCTGTCCTTCTTTACCTTTAAATGACTAATCACAAAACAATGCATGCCAAATACAAGCTGCGTAGGTAAGGCAAATCATGTGTTATGACAAACACACATCTTTCACCCCTTAGGAGAGCACCTTTTCAAAACAACTGAACACATGCATTACATCTTTCACCAGGTGTGGGTCTACAGGGCCAGATACAGATGACCTCCTGGGGCTCCATGCTTGGGGACTGGTACTGCTGGTCTCAGGTCTAATCTGTACTGCAGAAATAATCCAGTTTGACACCACTTTAACTGTCATGGCTTAATGTGATGAAATTCTGGAATTTTGTGAGATATTTAGCCTTCTTTTCAGGGAGCTCTGGTGCCTCATAAAACTACAGATCCCAGAATTCTGAAGGATGGAGCCAGGGCAGTTAAAGTGGTGTCAAACTGCATTATTTCTACAGTGTAGATGCACCCAGGGAGAATTTCAAACAACACTGTTGGCCTTCCCAAATGACACTGCCAAGATTACACTGGATGGTACCTAGAAAGGCTTTTGCCATGAATCCCTAGTGATCCTTTGTGGATTTCTGTTCACCACTCAATGCTTTTATCTCGTCTGGATCCTACAAAGCAACCCTCATCCTACCTTCTCCTAGGAAAATCTGATAGTGTTGGAAAGAGATCGCCCAGAAGAGGGGATTTGGCTGCTAGTACCTCCGAGTGTGATCAGCCAATTCAAGCTGGGTCCAGACCATTACCAGGGATCGCCAGGAGGGAAGATCAAACTTGATTTCCACATTCATCATCAGAATTTTATGGAATGTGCTTTTTAAAAGGTCAGAAGTTGCTCATTAAGTGGATGGAGCAGGAAACTGACAGAGATGAACTGCTTAAAATAGTCACTGAAGAGAAATTAATCATTGGTGGGGAGCAACTTCATAACAGAGCACAGAGCAGAGTTACTTTCATCTACTGTGGCCGTGGAGTTCTCTTGTCTTCCTAGCGGCAATATGTGGGTGGCTAATAAGAGAGGTTATTATTTTTGCTCATTTATGCAGTAGCAACAGCTTCTCCATGGGAGCTCTCAGCCATGTTTACCTGCCAGGCATCCCAAATGAGAAGGTAGCCTTCAAGGTGGCCACAGGTTCTGTATCAGAGGGAAGGGTTCTCTGAAAGGGCTGCCCAGTTCACATTGGCTTTAAAGATCAAGAGTTTAAAGATCACATTGGGTTTAAAGAAGGGAGGAAAAAAAGATCTGGAAGTCACCTATCGACAACTGTCACCTGGATAGCAGAATCTGTGGTTGGCTCTACCATAAGGCAAGGTGCCATGCCATCCTCAAGAAGCAGATGTTGACTGTCATGAAAGGGCAGCAAATGGTTACTTATTTCTTTTAGAAATACTGTAATGTGCAGGTTAAGAGTCTCCCTTATCCAAAATCCTCAGGACCAGAAGTATTTGAGATTTTGGATTCCCCCCCGCCCAGATTTTGGAATATTTGCATATATATATATATATATATATATATATATATATATAATTAGGTATCTTGGAGATGGGACCCAAACATGAAATTAACATCTGTTTTGTAGACACCTTATATACTTATATACATAGCTTGAAGATAATTTCATACACAATATTTTTAATAATTTTGTGCGCAGAACAAAATTTATGTACACCGAATCATCAGAAAGCAAATGTAGCACTATCTCAGCCATCCATGTGGACAATTTTGGCTTCTTGGAATATTTTGGATTTCGGAATCATGGATAAGGAAAACTCAATTGTACTATTTCTTTTCTTGCCAGGGATGAGAGGCGATGCTTATAGGATCCTTTGTTCTCCTGTATCAGGCTTGGTTAGCACTGGATATTCAGCAGAAACAAGGGACCCATCTCAAGATACTCAAAAGATGGTTGGCCTTTTATGCATGGTGAGATGTAGCTATGGAGATGCAACCATGTCTCATAACTGTCTCTCCCAATGCTACTCCATAAAAACCTAGGCTGACATTGGGTATGGGACTTACATCTTCAGAAGTGGACTTATGTGTGTGGAAAATAGAAGTGCGTCATTTCTTAAGGTCCATATTCACCTAGGAGCTGCCATGATGTTGCCACATATAAGCATCTATTGTGTCTCTGAATTGCTTCTTCTCTCTCTTTCCTCCTTGTCAGTAATGACAATGCCTGTGATGTGTTACTTTTTCAAAAAGTAATACAACAGCTGGTAATGTACTCTACCTCCCTTTGTAATGAGTACTGTTATTCCTAAAGGCTACTTTGGGAAGGGTGCTTTGGAGGCTTTGGGGCCATTTTCTTAATTTTAAGTGTACTTTTAATATTAATGGGAAAACAACTCATTTCAAACAAGCGTCCAACAAGCAATGCGTCTCCCTCCCCAGGGCAAAACAACAAGCCATGAAAGTAACAAATTACTTTGAGACAGTAACCTTCCAAACTCTGCCACCAGCTGAGAGAGAGAAAGGGGTATAAATTTTGCTTGTCTCATCTTATGCATGAGAAAAGGGAAATGTGATTTCCTCCTCCTCCTGTGTATGAGATGGTGAAGAATTTTCTGTCGGTCTCAAGAGAGTCTTTACATTTACAGGAACCATCTTGTGCAAGTTGGATAAATCATCTAGCAAGATAAACTACTGCCTTGTCACCCGGACTTTTTTAAAAATTAGAAGCATTGCATAGATTATTGGAATCTTTTCAATCCACCATTCGGTTCTTCCGTGCTTGTTGTTTGCACCTGTGTTTTGCTTCACAAGGGGAAAGGATTATTTTTGCATAGAGACTGGAGAAAAGTTTGCTGAGA